TCCTCTCCTTAAGGACTTATTTGTAAGCGAACATCTGGGACTTATAGTACAGCTGTGATGGCTACATGGCTCTAGCTTTAACTTAGTACAAGGACCTTTTGTAGCTTGTTAGAGGTTACCTTTATGGCTCAAGAGGGGTGTGTTTCGGGTTAGATATAGTGCGGCCTCTGTCTGTCAGTGTATAGGCTGCGTGTCATTGTGCCTGTCGGAAGGGGAGCCCTACATTCGTAGGGCACAGAAACCTAGCAGCCCTAACTTGTTAGACGAACCTTTGAAATGCTTCATAGTGACCCCTACCTACTCACCTTGAAAGTATTTTGGGAGTAATTAAGCCGGGCATATGGGTATCACTACTCACAGTGAAAGTGTACAACCTCTGCAGAGTATAAAACTGGTATATCAGTCGTGCTCACGGTTACGAGCAGCCTTGGACCCTTATGGAATAGATGATCACTAAGAATTATTTGTTTATGCTATTCATTATTCTTGTTTACATTGATCATGTGTTTTACTTTGGAATTGAAACAACCTATTGCTACTCTTATACTAAAATTGTGACAACTAAAAGTTGAATGTTGTTAAACCTGTGTCAAGCCTTTTGAACCTCATGAACCCCATATTACACTTGATGAGTACGACACGTACTTACGCTTGTTTATTTTCATTATTTGGATAAAAATCCCGGATGGGTAACATATGGCTATAGTAATAATGACTTTACTGAGGATTACTAGACTTGTGATCAACTAGTCGACGTCCCTGTGATATGGAGCTTCCGCGAGAGATTTATCTTTATACTTCTGATATATTTATGTGAAGACTCTATCTTCTTATTCGTGATGTAATAAACACTTGTGATGATACTATTTATAATTTGTCGGCTTATGTGTGTGACTGATCTCTGGGCGCACATAAGATTATGCATGCTATTTTATCCTTAAAATTGGGCGTGACAGATATGCAATCAATACCATGGATATAAAAGGAATTAAAGCGCCAGTGTTCGGATAGAAATGTCTAATTAGGATTTTAAGGAGATGTGAAACCTTGACACCTATTAGTATCCAAGTCATCATTCATGTCTTCTTGTACTCTAAGGTCTTGTTTAGTTCCTCCCCCTAAAGTTTCTCTATCACATCGTATGTTTGGACACATGCATAGAGTATTAAATATAGACTAAAAAATAACTAATTGCACAGATTGCGACTACTCTGTGAGACGAATTTTTTAAGCCTAATTAATCCATGATTTGATAATGTGGTGCTATAGTAAACATGTGCTAATGATGGATTAATTAGGCTTAATAAATTCGTCTCGCGGATGCCTGAGGACTTCTATAATTTATTTTATTATTACTATCCGAACACTCCCATGTGACACCCTATGTGACTACCGATGTAACACCCCTAAACTTTAGCCCTGAATTGAAACACCACCTAAATCAGCAAGGTCCTCCTTGGGGGATCCTTCTGGCGTTCCAAACATGACTGACAGTAACAATGTTATGGAGCTATGGCGTGGAAACCATAAGAACTAAAGAATGATAAATTCATGATCTAAATGCACTCAAACATACCTCCATAGCATAGAGGTTATTTTATGAAAAATTGTGTACAAGTTCCATAATTTTTATATGTAAAACGAATTAGTTGTGAATTAAGGGGTTTTCTCCACACCTAGAAGAAAAAGGGACACATGGCATCATAGGAGTCCAACACATGGCAGCAACACAATGTGACATGAGTCATATAGCAGGAGGTCGCTGACATGTGAGTCCCTAAGAGGTCAAAGTCAATTGCCGACCCGGCTAGAGAGGTCCTAGGTTCGGACCAACTTAGATAAGGGTTGTGCGCCCTTCAGCTCAGCCCGAACAAGTGGCATGTACTCCGCCCATTAGGCTCTCGATCTCAGGGAGCTTGGTTGATGCTGGACCCAAAGCCGTGTGCAGTGAACCTTTGAGATGGTTCACAGTGGACTAGACCTTTGCAGCTATGCCCGGGGGAGGATCATTGCTGAACCAACTCCTGGTTGGTGGGAAAAACTACTGAGCTGCTGCAAACCAGATCTTTGGTGCTGGCCGGCTCACTACTGTTCCTGATCTCTGTTGCTCGGTCCTTTTGCATCTTATACTTAGAATTAAAGGCAAGCTATTATGCCAATGGTGGTGGTTGTGTGGTTAGGACCCTCTTTGCGTTATTTCTGAGTTCTGATTCGGCCCTGATCTATCATATCTGTTAGTACCATAATGCTGTTGTTCGGCTACTCAGGAACCCTATTTCATATGTTAATTTACATTCTTAATCTGTAAGAGTTAATAATTGATATATAATACTTATTGCAGGGCGCTACATTTTCTAGTGTAAATATGAACAGAGGAAGTATTGACACCTTACAGAGATGATAGACTTCAAAATATCCTTTCCTAACTAAAACATAATGAAGGATAATTAATAACAAAATATGCCCTAATGTAATTCAGGTAATCAAATTATAGACATGAGGTACTCACACCACTAACAAACACAATTTGTATAATTACATACACGTGAACGCTGTCAGGATCCTACAAGCTCTCATATTTTTGTGTGTTGCCACTGTCTCGAAATTAAAAGTACTAACGTAGTTTCCGAAGAGAAAAAGAAAGCAACTGGACATCAATCTTTTTTTGGCAGGAAAAGTTGAGAGATGTACTGTATTACCATCATCAGCCACTGAATGGCCAACGAGATCCGGTGCTCGCTTGAGCCACGCCGTCGAAGAAAGATGTTTACAAGCATGTGGCCTAATTTATGAGCAACCCTATTACAAACTCTATTACAATGGACAATCAGCAATTTAGCCTCTTTTGGTTGTACTGCAAGGTTAAATCGATTGTCTTCATTAGAGTTAGAGCTTCAAAATAATAGGCAGTCAGTCTCCAAAATGACAAGAATCAATCCATTGAATTGCCAATCTCAGTCCCTCGCTGAGTGCCCTAAGTTCAGCTACCACAGCTTCAGAATAGTGGAAGCGTATTTTGCTTAGAAGCAAATAAAATTGATCTCTAGTGTTGACGGCGAATTGGGTTCCACACCAGCAAGGGCTAGCACGCCTGAGGTTGCACATGACCTACCACATGTAGCCAGCAACTCCAAAATCAGTGAGCCCATCCTTCGCCACAAGAACTTAAGAGAACCCGTCAGGGAGATGCACACCTGATGTTGCCCTAGGTCAACAAGGCCACCTAGGACGTGGTTGGATAGCGCTGAGAGATACAATGAACAGCAAGGGATTGGAATAGTAGGACAAAAAGGGTAGTGGATGTAAAAAAAAGTCGATTGGATGTTAGCTCTCTTAATTGGTCGTGATCCTCTCGTTTATATAGAGGGTGATCTTATCCCAATAGAAAATATGTGTTGCACGTAATCTCCAAGTTTCCTATATTAAAAATATGTTCAAAACCGATTTGGAAACAAATCGGACTACAAATAGATAGGGAAACCGGCTTGGCCGGTTTTCTTGGTGCTAGGCACCCTAACTGGCCAGTACATGGAAACCGGCCTGGCCAGTTTGGGCAGGGCACGGCCCAATTTTGCCCTTTTCTTCGCTCGTGCTTTGATTCTTGTTCCACCAAATGTTTTCTCACATCCTCTTGACACCATAAACTTATTGGTAAAGTCCAATATGTCTATTGGCACATTTTGAGTGTCAACATACGTCCCGTTGTTTTTAGGTGAATATTGCTTGAACCTGTAAACATAAAGGGCACTAAATAGCAACAATGTCCAACTCATCAGCTATCTAGTACATAAGGGCAATGTATACATCGGCCATGCTTGTTCTAAGGGCGATACATATATCGGTCTATATGAGCACTTTAGGCTTCTTGCCAAATACTTGGAAACTATTTTTTTCAAATACCTCATATTAATTGCTCTAGGGAGACTATAACCTCGCAACGCTTTTTAAAAACCAACCAAATAAATTGATTTTAACCGTCTCTAAAAATATTTTGGGTGGTAGTTTCGATTTACGTTTTTCTTTGGCTATATTCATATTTTACTAAAATATATATCATCAAGTTCATAAGGCAAAAAAAAGTGTGTTTAGATCTGTTATGAAAAGTGTACAAGAAATGGTGCAGTACGTTGACAAGATATGTGAACAATGTACCAAACCATTATTTGCACACATTTTTGTCCCTAAAGGAAATACACCCATCTTTTGCTCGTATTGCCATGAATACTGGTTTCGGCATCTAGCCACGTTAATTAATTATATAATCAGAAAAAAAAAACATATCAACGATATATCACAGGTTGTAAAGTACCGACAAAAGACTGACAGACTACCAAGAACAGATGCGATCCCGTGATTTCATAATTCGTATCCAAATGTGAACCAGCAAATAAGCTAGCGTTTGAGATGAAAAAGGCTAAGATTTCGAAGCCACAGAGATTGCCGTTACTTGTGCTTGGGATCAACAAGCCAACCATTGGAACTGCAGCTGCAAATAGGAGCAAAAAAGTAACATCGAATATAAGTCAGAATCCATCAAGCACGGTAATCATCGTTTACAAACAGAAAGTAAGGATATATCACTACTAACATTCACACAGAAAGTTAAGATAAATAACATGCAGATAGTAGCAAAGAAATCAGTAGCCATATTCAAAGCATGCATGAAGTATTTCGTAGCTGTAAAATTGGGATTCCTCTATTGAATAGAAAAAAAATAAAACCTAAAGAATAATGTAGACCAGAACAAAATGGTAAAAGTACCTGAATATTACATGAAGGTTATTTGTCAGTAGTCCATAGTATATAGATCATATGGACCCCACCTAGATCAGACCTTTCACACATGTAGGATGTTCAACACCACTAAAAAATGTTTGAGTTCAGCAACCTTGATCGTCCTACAAGTAACAAGAGTATTTTACACAGGTAAGAAACGATGACCTACATTCGAGAAAAAACAGTGCCAATTTCTTAATGTTAAGTTGAGATAAGAACCTGAGTCAGTGAGAAGAGAATGAACCCATGATAAAATCTTCATCCTCTGAAAAAAGCTGGAGATTCTTGGTCCTGAGCAGGAACTCAACCTCATCCTCGTCAAAATCAACCAAGAATCCAACCTTGAGAAGATCGGTGAGAGTCGGAATCAGATCAACTCTTTCATACAGCAGCCCTTGAGAGATCTCCTCGCCAAAGCTTGTCGCCATCTCCATCCTAGTTATCCTTCCATGTGGCCCATCAGACCTCTGCTTGTACAACTTGCGGTTCTCCCTATCCCACCTGAATATCCTCCGTCCTTTAACTGTCACAGTTCTTCCCAATGATGTCTTTACGTTGTAGCTCACACTAATTGGTTCGGTCATATCAAAGATCTTCATGCCCAGTAGGTAAGAAGCCATTTGGTGCCTCTTGTCAGCACCGTTCTCAAGAACGGGGTTGGTAAGGAAAGCTAGGATTATTCTGAGCAAGCCTGGTGATACAAAAGCATCTCTTGCCTCAACTACCTGGTAGTGATGCATGTTCAAATCACAGGATTCAACTTTTGTGACAGACTTGGAGATTGCTCGAACACCGAGGCTCTGGTAGATAGTGTCCATCTTAGCTCGAGCAGTGAATGATATCCCAGAAGGATACCAAACAAATAGTGGCTCTGAAGAAAACTGATCAAACAAATGCTTCAGGAGGAGATCATCTGGAACAAAGACATCTTCCACCTCCCGCAGGATGATCTTGCCACAGGATAGAACAGGGACTCTTGTGACAGACCCTGAAAGGAGCTTTGCTGTTGTCGCATTCCAACGGTTTCCAATGAATTCCCAGAAAAATGAACATCTAGCTGGTGTGAGCTCAGAACATGTGCACTCCCAAGAGCGCCACAGAATGCAGTGATCTAAAACTCTTGGGTTGTGCCTGACACCAAGAGTGGAGAAGAATCCAAGCAAATCCTTTTCATAGTACTTGTCCAAGACTGAGAAGCGCGTACTAAACAGGCCGTTCCTGTCATGAAGAACACAATCTGCAGGGCGCACCCAGTGGCCACTGCTGCTTCCATTGGGTATCCAAATCCAGCTTTGACCTTTATTTCTAGGATCCCATTTAAATGCTGCAAAGTATTTGTAGATCCTGGTTATGGTATCCACTCTCAAAAAGTGCTTCAAGTCCTGTTCCAACAGAGTGCATCCGTAGCCAATGTCCACAACAACTCCGATCAGTCTTAGCTCAGTCTTGTATGACAATATTTCAGATCCATAGAATGCTTCATCGATGAAAGGACCATCTTCCCTGCGGAGATATGAAGACCATGCCAAGTCATAAAGGATACATTGATCTGCATACCTGTATCCAAGAGTTGTTTTCATTTGCATGTTTCTAATTTGTGCTGCAAAGTTTCTGGGATCGGTGCATGTCTGCATGCATTTCAACAAAGATTCAAGAGTTGAGCTCACAAGTAAAGGTGGGCAGTCAGCAACAGACAAGGGTACTACATTCTGTTCGGTGCTCTCACTGGTGATCCCAGAGTCACTGACAATCATCCCAGTGTAACGGTTAACAACATTGGGCATGTGCATTTGAGGTTTCTCTGCCGTAGATAGGCATGATAAGATGAAGTCTGCTCCCTGGTTAAAACCTACAATAACACCCAAGGCCTTGAGCTCCTTCTTATAGCTGTATATTTCCTTCCCCACGCCATTGCTCGAGTCACTGTCATCAATGAACGGTAGTCTTGCAACTGCCATCAATGGTTCCCATGAAGAATCAAAGAGCACACATTTGTCTGGAGTCCTGAAACCTTGTGTAGTATTCAGCCACTTCTGTTTTTGCATAAATTTGAGAATATCTGCAGGGAATGTTTTGTGCTCATCCCTCAGATCCTTGTAGCATGAGAGCAGAGCAAGTCTAATTTCCTTTGTAAGGGAAGATGTTGACAAGAGTTGCTTCAGATAATTGGTTATGGAATTGCTTGCCTGCTCCAAACTAAGTACGACACCTATCTTCATCAGTTCGTCCCGGTAGGTTAGGATTTCATTAGAATAGAACGACAAATCGAGTAGTGGAACTGCATCAGCAAATTTTAAAAGGCATTTCCACTCTGGATCGAGGATAAATGTTTCCCGAGGAGCTCTAAATCCAGCATTAGTCTTCGACCATTGTCGATTCTTTAGTACCTTCACCAGGTTCCTGCATGAGTCGGCATATCTGATACATTTCAATAATAGCGTAGCAGCACCAGAAGTAACTGGACCTGTTGGAATCTTGAAGTTATCAACAATGATATTGTAATTCTTTTTTAATGTGACATGAACTCCTAGTTTCTCAAGCTCTGACTTGTAATCACTGATTTCAGGGCCATAGAAATCGATGTCAACAAAAGGTAAACTGCTTATTTCAGATGGTACTGTCCATTCAGAACTGAAAAGAACTGATCCGACTGGGGATCTGTACCCAGAGCAAGTCTTCAGCCAATTGCCGCCTCTGACGGTCTCAATGAGATGATCAGACTGTATGTGTTCCTGTTCAAGGAATCTGATGAAACAGAGCAGTGATAACACCATGTCACCCGTTGGAGTACCTGTTACCATTGACATGAAACAATGATTGCCTATGTATGACATCACTTCAGCAAATTCAAACCTCACACCTAGTGTTCCCAATACTTCCTTGAAATCAATAATATTGCCCAGGTAATATTCTTGATCAATCATTGGCACATCAGCAAAGGCAACTCTATCCTGAAACAAGCAACCCCATTCTGCATTTGAACAGAACGAATCTGCTGGTGAACGGTAGCCAACAGATGTCTTGAGCCAATTCCCATACTTGATGCAACTTAAGAATTTTTTAGGTATACATATACCCCTTGTCCTTAAATTCTCAATCCATTCCAGAAGGAGAAGTGCTTTCTCTGTAGTTAATGAAGATGACGCAACAGGAAAACCAGCATCAGGGGGAAGCAGAAAAGGCACATCAGTGCCATGTATAAATGTCCTTATAAATGATAAAAACTGATCATCACATGTATGCTCCCCAGAGGAATTTCTAGCATAGATGTAATCATCTCCAAGTTCTACATAGTTTTGTGCCTTCCATGGATTTTCGCCCAACAATGCAGCCCACTTACTTCCTTTAGATGGAACAAGAACCGTGCTTCTTGCAGCAACGACACAACCACAATTGTCAACTATGGGCATTAAATTGCATATATGCTTTACATTCCATTCTGGCATTAAATTCTCTGAATGCAAGTGATATATGAATCGAGTAAAAGAAAGAACCATGTTTTTCTCATGCAAAGCTTTAACAACAACGAGAGCATACTCATGTAGGGTCAGACTCTTCACTCCTACATACTTCTCAAGCCATTCCATTACAGTTGTTTTCTTCGGAAACAGACCCAGTGCTTTCTGAGTAGACAGTGGCATAAAGAGTGTCCGAGACGCTGTTGAGAATTCAGTATTCCAGTTAATGATCAATGGTACACATTCCTCATCAGATAGCATGCATAGTCTCTCATCGCCCTTTGTGGCTTCATACACACTCATGTAAGTTAGTAGACCACCTCTGCCGACACACTTCACAAGTGGTATTTTCTCCATCTTTGTGCTATCAAACTTAGCCTTCCAGTTCTGAGCAACAAAAGTGAGAAGATCAAAATAAATGTCTTCAGGCAGCAGTGCCACAAGATCTGAACCCTGAATACACTTTCCGTACCACTCAGAATCAACATAACCAATACCAAGAAATCCCAACTCATCATCATATACTTCGCTGTCAAAGTAGGAATTCAGAATATGAGTACCATGCGATGAAATGTTGGGAACATCAACTCCCATCTTCACTGCCCTGTTTATGATGCTCCAGAATGCAGACTCTATCCGGAAAACCTCTGTAGGCTTACGGAATACTTTTAGTGAAGAACAGGTCTCACACGGAATTATATCCACACCGATCAGCTTATTTCTTATAGATAGCCGGACAGAATCTATCAGCACTATGGAAGAGTGATTAAGTGGCAGAAATTTGAAAATAGGTGGAAGAGCAAATGCTGGAGCACTTTCTATTGACTTCAGTAATACCAGGAAAGCATTTACAAAAGCAGAAGATACACATTCTAGTATCCCTTGGTTCCACTGGCTGTCAAGCAGGATTGATTCTCTAGATGATGACAGCAAGAAATCAGCCTGGATAATGAAAGGAAAGTTTGTTGCCATTTCAGTTGGCAAGAATGCATAAACACCAGGTGATCCCATCGCCTGGCTCAATCTCTGACCATGGGGGAATGCTAGCATGACAACCCACTGATCAATTCCTTCTCTCTTTTGTACACGGCATTCTGGTTTCACAGGAAAATGCTGCTTCCAGATGTAGTAGCTGCATTGACGCTCACCTGTCTTGTTCTCCAAAGCTGATAAGTGAAGAGTATATGACTCTGCACCAATTTGCTTCCTAGTTAAAGCATCAGCTTCACTTGATATAGAAATTTGACTAAGACTAGTAGCATTCAGGTCATCATTAATCTCCCTCACGGAAATTTGTCTAATCTTGGAAAGGAATAATAGTACTTCAGGGTGCGTGCCGGAGAGCTCCTTTTTCACAGCATCTATTTTATCACTTTTCAGAGGTAATATAATAGTTGTGGTTGGGAGGCTTTTCAGACAACCATATATGTTCATTATGTCTGCAATACTTGGACAATCTTCAACCCATTCAGGAACAATATACCCAATACCACAGTCTACTGAAGGATCTTCACTAAATTTAATTTGATACCCATTGCTAAATATATGGGGATTCTTGGATACCAGAAACACACTTTTGAAACCAATACCTGCATGAAAAAGAACCAAATTTCATAAAACTAACAAAGTAGATTTCCTGAAGTTTCTAGTATATTAAGTAGAGAAGAGCATGACTAAAAATAAAAGCAGCATTGTAAAATATTATTGTCGACCCTAAAAAAAATGTTATTGTCAACCAATAAATTGAATGATACAGATTCTAAGTTTTAGACTTTTAGGTGATAGTCATAAGGATGTACCTTTTTCCCCAATATAACCACTACCTCTGTTAGACTTTTTGGTCGATTTGCCAATTCTAGAAATGGATTCAATGTTTGCTGGAGTAAAACCATTCTCATTATTGAATACCAAGAGGGTTGCAGTTGCTCCACTACAGGTGATATCCTTCGATGTGATTACAAACTCCAAAGCTGGTAACACCCCAGAAGGATAATCATTGTCCTCAGCATTCTGATGTCACACCATATGAAAAGGTATTTTAGTCAAAATGGTAAACAGATTTTGTGAAGTTACTAACTAGTAATGTACAATGAAATGTCACATATCACACTTACTTCTGGGCAAAAACATTAGAAACTGAAACGCTAACAATAAAAATTAGTAAAATTGAAAGAACATTTGGCATCTTTTTTCTTGATTCTGTAAGGCTCAGTCCTGCATTATGGCTTCACATGTTATGTGTAACATCCTGTGTTTCCGTGTAATAAAAATCCCAACTTTAAAAAAAAACCGGTGAATGTGTGTTGCATGTAATGTGTAGTCAACTTAAGTCAACCTTTTTCCTTACTAATCCTAATCTCTCCCACCTTATTCAACTAAATTTACAATAATCTTGTGCATCATGTAGTATAGATGCATGTGTGATTTGGTTCTTGTCTTAGTTGTGCTTGGAGGTAATCTCAATCCCTATAAATAGGAAAATCATTTATTATTAGTCTCCTAATTCAGGCCCTATCTGGCCCACTCCCTTCCTCAGCTCCCGCTCAGCCCAAGTGGCCAACAGGCCCAGCTCGCGCCCCATCGGCCCAACTCCAGCACCAGTCGGCAACAACAGCCTAGCTCCCCTCCCTATCTCTCACGTGCATGCTCCCGTGGGACCCGTGCGTCAGCCGTAGCAGCTGCCCTCTCCGTTTCCTCTCCGTCGCTTTTCCCGTTCCCACGCCGTCTTCTCCTTTCTCCGTACCGACGACGCTCCCCTGTTTCCATCCGTAGGTGCCGCTGCTCTCCGTCTGCCGCCATGGAATCCAGGCACACCACCCGGGCCCACCGAGCCTCAACCTGCGCCGCAAATTGCGGAGCGTCCGAACCCCTAGCCCTTCTCGAAGGTTCCCGGCTCGCCCACCTGCCCGCACCTTCGGATGGCAGCCACATGCACCGGCCGTCCCATCAAGCGGCACGGACAGCGGCTCTTTCACTTGGAACCCTAGCCGCCGGGCTATAAAGCCCAAGCCGAGGCCTCACCCTCACCAACTCCCTCCTGTCCACCGCCAACCTGCCTTACCTCCTAGTGCTGTTCTTGAGTCTAGATGAGTTAGGTTTTGTTGTGGTTTTATTGCTTCTTATTGGTGGTCGTTCTCGGTTTTTGTTCCGTAGCGACGGTTTGAGCTCGGATGGAGAAGGAGACTCCCGCTGGTCAACGACAACGACTTCCGGAGATGCATATGACTACTTCCTTTACACCGCAGGTGTCATGGCAGCACCTTTTTCTTAGAGAATCCTATTAGGCATTCCAAGTAGAACTGCTAGCGCTTTATATTTATTCCTTTGCTAGATTATGTGATGCATGCTATTGCCTGAGCCTTGTTTGCCTTGCTTGAAACCACTTCACCCTGATTACCCAGCTTTGAGCTCGTACTTATAATATGCTTGCCTGCTTGCTTGCATTTATTCCATCATAATTACATAAATTCCTTGCTATGTGATGTGTGATGGATGTTTGGGTGATGTGGATGATGGATGGGGTTTTGCCACGAGGCATCCCCATGTGGTATGGTTTGATATGCGACGGGAGCAGTGAATCCTGAGTGGGCATTGGTGATGTGAGGAGTTCTGGAGATATTCCTTGCCCTCGAACTGATTCTTGGAGATACTGGCTAGAGTGAGAGGTTGTCGTTGTGTACGGAGTGCACCAAGGGTAGTTCCTGTGGTGGGAACACAGAATCCTAGAGGGACAGCGCGTCCCCGAGGGACATTGGGATGAGGAGTTTGTGGATGGATAGATCACCTTTGTGGGGTGAGTCTAGTGCTCTTAGGGCAAATGGTTTGGTGGAAGATGCTTGCTCTGGCCAACCTAAGGACTGACGTAAGTTGCAACCATAAATCACAGGATACTTTCGTACACACCACATGCCTAAGTGGGTACGGCACGTTGCCCTAGTAGTGCAGGCGACCACCAGTCTCTGTGGGAGTGAGTAGGCATGCAGTCTGTGGCCCTGTGCAATTAGTGTCAGGAGGGCGGGGGGTTACTCCATGCTACCTTGACGACACGACCCCAGCTTATATAGTGGCGTCTATATATCTTCGTTCGGGCTGGTGGACAGGGCTGGTGTTAGTCGGCCTAGTATGCGGTGGCGGTGTTCATCGCTGATGGTGATTCATCGGCGGTGTTCATGTGGGGTAACAGTGTACTCTCTGTAGAGGTTAATAATCTATACATATAGCCGCGATCTCAGATATGATCACTTACCTATGTGCAGGGTTCAGCTCACTAGCTTCTCTTGTGCTTTGCTTCTCTCCCCCTAAAGAAAAGGTTCGGCTTGAGGCTACCTCGTCGACTAGACTGAGAGACTGAGGGTGTTGTGAGGGATGATGAGTGGTAACTTGTGATGATGATGAGGGGATGGTGAGAATGAGAGTGTGGTTTGGGACTTGAGAAGATATAACTATTTTTTATGCTTTTCTGCTTGCACTAAGGATGTAAACTACAACCAAACTATTAGGATCACCAGATCCCTTTATTTTCTATTTTCCACCAAAGCTCATTCGGTGTTGACCATGGCCTGCACATATCTGATGGTGTGCAGATTTCTTGCCTCGCAATGGTGTTGTGAATGGTAGTTGGTTTCCGGATCTACTCTCAAGGACGCCTGTGGATTGAAGACTCTTCAAGCTTCACTACTACGATTAGATTTCCGGTGTTTTGTTTGATTTTAGTCCAAAGGGCTTGTAACTAGATTAATGTAATAGGCTTAATTTTGTACTCTGATGTGTTGTATGACTTTGTAATCATCTGAAAAATAGATGCCCGTGATAGCTGAGGTATCCTGGGACTATCACAGAGGAGCAAGACAGTCGGAATTTCATTTTTGAAATCCCGCTTCGTCAAGTGGAGCCGGCCCAGGGGCCCATGCGGTACTATAGGGGTCAAATACCGCATGAGCAATAATAGATCATATTAGATTAGATTGATTAGGATTAGTTAGGAAAGAGATAAGTTAGTAAAGGGATAAGATAGATTGATTCGGTTAGGATATTACTTATGGGTCAAATACGATGTCTCTATAAAAAGGATCATCATGTATCAGTTATAGTCAAGCAAGAAGAAAATCCTAAGATAGACCCCGAGGAAGGAAGGCTATCCGGGGTCTCTCTGCTAATCCATCTATCCTACGGCCCTGTTCGCTTGGCTTATCGGCCGTACTTTTTCAACAAAGGAATAATATTTTTCTCTCACAACAAATCAGTGAAGAGTACTTTTGAGCCTGGTTTTTCAGCAAAGCGAACAGGGCCGTAGCCACATGATATAAAAATATTTCACCGTTGTTTGTTAAACCTTAATTTGTGGAATTGAAAAAGAAATAAGTACCATCGTGGTATTCCCTATATATTTTCTTTCACTCTAGAGGGTGTAACTGTTTGACCTGAAATTGTTAACAGAATATTGACAATCCAGAAGCCACACTGGAGAGCAATGGACAGTCTCATTACCATGTCTATCTTCTGGTGAATAAATGCAAATTAGCATAATTTAAGACATCGTTTTGCAACAAGAAACAGAAAAAACTGGAAAATTGGTTTGACTCTAATCTGTCTGTTGTTGCACCAAAGAAATTCAGGTCACTCGAGCAAGAACCACATGTGGCCCCTTTGTAGCGCCAATACCATAGTGTTCTTGAGTGCTTGTTCATCATTTGTGATTGAGAATTGAGTGAGATCTTGTGAGTAGAGTCTTATTGCATTTTGGCTACACAAAAGAATGGCACATTGCCCAACAAGGAATAACCATGCATGGAGCGGTCCGGTCTGAGTATGTACAGATCGGAATGGACCGGGATATATATACCGCAGGGCGCAGGTGGATTTACGAATAGCAAGATACCTGGATGAGCTCCATGAGGAAATGGACATCCTTGCTGTAGAGCTCCTGGCTGAGGTAGTTGACGGCCTGGTGCATGTCCTCCGCCAGCGGATTCCGCTCCTCACGCCCGATGAAGTAGCGCTGACGCCGGATCCTCTCCACGTGCTCCCGTGGCGACACCGGCGGCATCGCCGAGGACGACAACATGGTCGCCGGCCGGCTCGCCACAAATGGCGAGCGCGCGTTCACGTAAGATCACTGCTAGCTGCTGATGAGTGATGATCGAACTGGGTGGGAGAAGACGAAGAGGGAGGGCTTGGTTGGGAAGCGGAGGCGCCGGGGCAGGGTAGTGGGCGAGGACTTAATTGAGCTGCTGGCCTTGGAACTTGCATTGGAAGGCCAACAGGCTGCCGGATTGGCACCATGGCCCGGGGTGGCGCCTGCACGGTGGGGTAGTGCAGCCAGTGTGATTGAGAGCGGGTTAGTCGCGCGGGACCACTTGTCATCGGACTATGCAAGTGTTATGCGTGCAGATTCCACTGAGCGGCACACATATACCCGTATTTTTTTCCCTCAAAGAACGTAGCACGCATGTAGAGCCAAACATATAGAGAAAAGTTATTTTGAGCTTAAAATTTGTGCTTGAGTTTTCCGAGTTCGAAAAACATAAATGTTCAAGTTTTTTTTTCTTTTTGATGGAAACATATTCGAGGAAATTGCTCATGAACGTTGATCTCGGTATCACTAGAGAGTTGGAAGACGTCTAGTGACATGATCATACATATACACCATGAGACGAGTTACTTGTACTATATGATAATAGAAATTACAAAGAGGTTGTTTTTTTTCTAAAAATAAAAGGATCACTAAAACAAACAAGAACACGGCCACACCATAGTACCACACACAAGTATGCCTAAAGAGTTTTTTTTTTTTTACTTTGGATTGTGACATTGTGCCTTGAACAATAACAATTACTACCACTTAAGCCTACATATCACCAACATTTCAGTTTGCCACGTTTTCTGCCCTCTGGCAAAGTGAACCCGAGATAGCGCATCATCTTCTAGCTACATGTCGACGATATTCTAAGCGCGTCTAGATGCTCGTGGCCTCCTCACTTCATACACTCAGCTTTTTCTAGAGAATTGGAAAAGCACCAACAACGTCATGGTTGGTGGTCTATGTTGGCAATCGTAGAATTGAAATTCAAGGGTATTTCAACACAAGGAACTATCCTCCATCTCCCTCAGTAACAAAATCAAAGGCGAGGTAGAAGCTTGGTATACAGCCAGAGCGAGGTGCCATGCACCATTCACTGGGAGAGAGTTTTTTTTTTGAGATCTGTTGCTTGTAAAAAATTCTTCTTTTGCAATAGAATTTGGCAAGGTATTGTGAATTTTTGTTCAAAAAGAAATATTTCAATTTGCACCGAAGCATCAGTCTTTCGTAGTCCTCCTCAGTGTTTTCCTTTCAATGGCCAACGGCAAGTTCCTTCATCAGAATTTTCTCAACTTTCCAAAGTGTTTTATACGTACTTCAATCTAAATTACACAGTTCACAAGTATTATTTTACTAAAAAAAAAGTGGCCAATGACTTTTTTCTTGGGGAGTTTTTTTTTTTGCCACTGATTTTGTTTTTGCTATTTTTTCGCTTGTAGGAAATATTCAAATTACAATACAAAAGCATTCCCCCACTTGCGGAAAATTGCATGAAAGAATCTCTACCATTAGAATAACACATTCTAAAACACACGAGGAAACCTTGGAGATGTGCTGAACCGCATCAGGGCACGTGTATTTACAACGTGTTTGCTTGCATCCTAGGGAAGTCTGCTTGGCGCGAATGTCGCCCCAAGGCATCCAATTTTATTTGGGCGCCTGGCGTCAAGATGGATGCCTGGCCACTGTCCTGCCTGGGAGACCGCAAAGTAAAATGGACCCTTAGTTCGACTCAATATCTTGGATTTAACTGCTGGCATCTAAATTATACAGCGAAGATTTGTTTGTGGCAAGGAAGAAAATAAATTACAAACGCCAGATCAACCTTTTTTTACCTTGATTGAATCATAAGCAGAAATCAACAGCTCAAATTTGTTTGTGGCAAGAAAGAAAAATAGGAATGATAGATCAACTTATATTGTATAGATGCAAATATGTCTGGTAACATGGGCCTTCTAATTCAAAGGGCCGAACGGAGCTCTCAACCCACGGGCCTCCCCCACCACCGGTCTACCAGTCACCGCACAAGATCAAGCGCGCGAAGAGGACCCAGCAAAAGAAAGAGAATGCATAGACTGATGTTGAGGCGCACTACTGGAAACAGAGACTCTGCCGAGTACAAAATTCTGTGCCGAGTGTTAAAAATCGGGCACTCGGCAAAGACCTTCTTTGCCGAGTGCAGCACTCGACAAAGAATTCTTTGCCGAGTGCTGGGCACTCGGCAAACACGGACACTTGGCAAAGGACTTCTTTGCCTGAACAAGATGTAGAGATGTCCTGGTTTGTAAGCATCGTACGTGACAACGTGCACGAAATCTTCTGAAATTTTTATCATAGGCTCCACATACGATATCACGACATCTCAACAAGTTTCATGATTTTCGGACTTCGTTTACTTTTTATAGAATTTAAAAACACTTCACACGCAATTTCGCGGACATGTTTCGTGAACAAGATGTCCGAAATTTCGAGTCCGTTCCTGGATACGGCCTCTCACAACACTCACTAACATGACTATCAATTTTCGAATCATTAAACTCCATTATTCGTACCACGTGCAGTTCAAATTTCTAATTTCCGGAAAAATTGAAGTAAACGAAATAAAGTAACTAAATATATCAAAAAGCCAAAAATAAATCCCCAAATTATAACTAGGAGTTCCTGGTGCTTTAAAAAGGGTTGCACAAAAAAATTAGAGGCCAAAAACAAAAAAACAAAAAAGACTTTGCCGAATGCCGGGGCATGGCACTCGGCAAAGGGTGTCTTTGCCGAGTGTCAGGAATAAGGCACTCGGCAAAGAGTGTTTTAAATTTTTTTTTAAAAAAATTCCTCTTTGCCGAGTGCATCCACAGGAACACCCGGCAAAGAAATTATAAAAAAAATTAAATATTTGCCGAGTGCCGTGACAGGGGCACTCGACAAAGTATTTTTTTTAAAAAAAATTTCTTTGCCGAGCGCCAGATCTGAGACGCTCGGCAAATAATTTAAAAAAATTTAATCTTTGCCGAGTGCCAGATCTGGGGGCACTCGGCAAAGAAATTAAAAAAAACAAATCTTTGCCGAGTGCCTCCCTGATCCGGCACTCGGCAAAGCCGCGGGCACGAGGACTTAATCGTTTTTGGCCGACCGGGCAGTCAGAGCCATCCAGCCCCGTGCCCAAGCCTGCCCGCCCCTGCCTCCGCGCGCGCCGCCCGACCACCGGCATGCGCCACCTTCGTGTGCCCCTGCCCCGACCGGCCCTTCCCGAGCCGCGCCGTCGCTGCAGTGGCGCCTGCCACGGCCGCGCTTCATGCCCCACCTGCCCTTCCCCGATCGCGCCGCCATCATTGCCGTCGCCCGCCCGCCCATTGCGCTGTGGTGTGTGCCATGCCGCCCGGCAGCGCACCGTGCTTGGCCGCCACCACGACCCCAGACCCCCTCGCCTCGGCGCGCCCTTTTCCCCGCCGTGCCACCCGCCTCGGCTGGCCCTGCCTGGCGGCGCCTACCCTTTGGTCACGCCCGTGGACGCCGCCGCCCGATCTCGCGCCGCCTCTACCCCGGCGCCCGTCAGGTATGCCTTCTCACTTATTATTGTCGAGGTAGTGGTAGTTGTAGTAGTATTAGTTGTACTAGTGGCAGTAGTAGTACAACTAGTGGTAGTATTAGTAGTAGAATTAGTGATAGTAGTAGTAGAAGTAGTGGTAGTAGTAGTAGTACAACTAATGGTAGTAGTTGTAGCAATAGTGGTAGTAGTAGTGGAACCAATGGTAGTAGTAGTAGCAATAGTGAAAGTAGTAGTACAAGTAGTGGTACTACTTGGATATATTCTTCTGCATGGATTGATATCCAAACTACATGGCTTCTGTTGAGCCATATGTGCTTGTCGGCCATCGTGCCGTTGTTTTTTGCAGGTTTTCGAAACCTCACCGTGCAGGGGAGGTTCTGCCGATTTTGTGTGTGTAAATGACAGTATTTTGTTCCATTTTTGTAGAGAAGGGCCCGTCGGAGTTGAGTCGGAGTTCTTGCCACCGTGCCGGTCTGCCTGCACCGCGTTGTCTCGCCACTGCACCGACCCGCCACGGCCCCGCTAGCCTGACTCCGCTGCCACCCTAGGTATAACCCCTCTTTTCATATCATTGTCGTAGATCACGTAACCCAGTTAGGCGTCTCCCGTTCAAAAGAGATACGGTTGGAGGTATGCAGATCTTTGCATATCTATGACCGTATCTATTTCGGATTGTCCACGCTTTTTGGACAGCCCGCAGATACGTAGATGGGTTAGTTCCCATGTTCTGCTCTGGTCCGAGACAGAGTTTCGGCATCACCTCCCTGTTGTTCTCCGGATACACACTCTTCTTTGGCAGGACGTGTATCTGGAGAACAGCGGGGAGGTACTGCCGAAATTCTATCTCCGATAGGAGTAGAGCATGGAAAGTAACCTCATCTACGCATCTGCATGTGGGATTAGGACCTATCCTCACCTATTAGACAGTAGGAACACCATGTAGATGCAATTAATGGTTACATTACTCGCTGATACATATGCTAGAGGATGGATGACCGTCAGTGGATGTACACGGGCTGGAGAAGTCAGAGTGATTACACCACGGAATGGATGAACAAGACCGATGCTTTCTTGAACAGTGCATTTGGCAACGCTGCTAAACGACATTGCCTAGTTTTGTGTCCCTGCAGCAAATGTGGAAATAGGAGATGGGTAAACAAGGTGGAAATGGGTAAACATCTTGTGAAGAATGGATTTACGCCGGACTACACCCGGTGGGTCCACCATGGTGAAGCCCATCGTATGAGAGAGGAGGTGGTGAGACCACGGGTGGAGGCTTTTGATGCTGATGCCGGGGTAGTAGACATGTTAGATGACTTTCACCAAGGACAGTTCGATGAGGGACGTGAGAAGGAGGAGATGGAGGCAGCCGCACAGGCGTTCTACGATATGATGGACTCGGCATAGAAACCCCTTCACGATCGGTCAACGGTGTCTCAAC